GTCTGAATATAATTAAAATATACCTTTCATTAAATGCACAGAATGGTACTCAGGCTATGAAAGTGAGTAAGAAGCAGATGGTTATTTCTGTTGTGGCTGTTTTTGAAATCACGGAAGCCATCGATTATTTACCTGTTGGCCTGGTTTGAGTGGTGACAGTGTTATTCCTTGGGTGTTGATCACTGGTAGTATCTGGTTTCCAATGACTGTAGCAATGATCTGACCCTGGGCATTGGTCAATAATTGTGGGGTAATTGGCTGCACTTGAAGGCCCTGAGCTCCTCCTGCAGCTTGATTGGTTGGAACTGGATTAGGCATCAGAGGAATTGTTCCAATAATCTACAAGAAACAAAACAAGAGATGAAAATCTACACATAACACATATTTATTATATTTAACTTGTTTTATACACACACCTCTGGCTGTGTAGGCAGACAGGAATAGGCATTCTATATCTGGTGAATCAAAACTGTCCTTCTTTCCCCCACAGGTTCACCTACATAGCGCTTTTGATCCCAAATTGCTTGATAAATTGTAGGCTTGCGCTTGAACACACACACACACACACACACACACACACACACACACCGGGGGCATTGACATTTTGGCTAATGAAATGGGCAAAACCTTGCTGCCATAAAAATGTCACAAGCAGCCAAATCTATATGTGATGAAGAGAACAGAAAGAGCTGCCTTACTGAGTCAGATCATATTCCATCTTGCCTATATCCAGTCTCCAACAGTGGCCCATACCAAAGCTTCTGGGGGAGTGTACAGAAGTGGACAATTACAGAGTCATTCACTCCTATATTCCACACCCAGTTTCTGACAGTCAGTGATTTAGGGTTGCCACGAGCATGGGGTCACAACCCTGCCTATATTTTTGAATACCCATTGATGGACCTATATTCCATGAACTTATCTGGTTCTTTTTTGAACCACGGTGTAATTTTGGCCATCACAACATCCCATAGCAATAAGTTCCACTAACTAGTTGTATATTGTGTGTGGAAAAAGTACTTCCTCTTGTTTGTAATAAGCCTGCTTCCTATCAATTTAGTCCAGTGATTCCTGTTTTTTATATTGTGTGAAAGGATAAATAACTTTTTGCTCACTGTTCAGGATTTTATAGACCTCTAACATAGCGCCTTGAGTTGTCTCCCTTTAAGCTGAAGAGCTGTTTCTACGGTCTCATCTGAAAGAGCCACACATACAGAAACTTGCACCTAACTCCAGTCAGATACCTCAGAAAGAAGAAGAACTAAAGAGACCCCTTTGGCATTTGAACCTGTGGTTTTAGGATACTGAGGCATTTGAAACCCAACCAAAGAGCAGTAAGCAATCCCCTGAAATATTAACATGCATGTAAAACTGAAATATAGATAAGATGTCAGATGTGTCCTGAACAGTGGGGCCAACAGCCACCACAGGCCCCGGGACAAAGTGTGTGGGGGTTCAGCTACATCCCCCCCAAAAGGGTGGGGTCTCAGGTGGAAGGGCAGAGGCCTTGGGCAATCAGCCCTTAGCACCGCCTGGAGTATTTTGCACCCCCCCCCCCCCCCACAGCCCTCAGAGCTGCAGGGAGAGGGCAGAGCGATGCTCTGACAGCAATTGAAAGGGGCCCAGGGCTCCAGCTGCTGCCACTGCTAATGCAATAGTGACAGTGGCAGCCAGGAGCTCCAGACCTCTTTGAATCTCCAGGTCCGGGATATTTGCCCCTTTTGCTCCGACCTGTCAGCAGGTCTGATCCTGAATGAAAGACAGCAGCAGAGCCGTCCCATCCATAGGATGAATCGGGGTGGCCGCCCTAGGCCCCAAACTTTTGGAGGCCCTGTGGCAGCCGCCTCAACAATCCTATGAATGGGAGGGATGTGGGGAACCTGGAGGATTATGGGGCCCTGACATGGAGGCAGCAGGGTTCACCTCCTCTCAAACCCCACTCATAGGTGACCCCACACATAGGTGACCCAGCAGCCTGCTCCACCCCACTGCCCTGCCCTCCCAGACCACTATTCCTGGCTTCTGTGTCTGGTTCCCACCACTGCGGAGAAGCTGAGCACAGCAGGCCAGGAGGGCAGTGAAGCAGGATGGAGCAGGCTGTTGGGCCACTCTGGCTCCCCTTGCTCGCGTGGTAAGTGGGAGGGAGGTGAACTCTACTGCAGCTATGCCAAGCCCCCATAATCACACGGGCTGTGTTGCTTGGGGGGTGAGAGTGGAGTGAGGCAGGCTTGCAGCAGGGGGTTGGCCCTCGGCTCTACACCTGGGACACTGGGGTGGGTTACCTTACGCCCCACATCTCCCTTGGGACAGCCCTGGACAGCAGGATCTTTTTACAAATCAGGTGAGGCTCATTAAAAAAAATAGTTTTTTGAGATAGTGAGTAGCCAAAGTTATCTCCAGCATAATCCCACTGACTTCAAATGGCTCTTTTAAAATACATCCATGGAAAATAATACTAATAGCACTCTAGCACTCACACTGCCACTCTCATCTATAGATTTCAAACCCTATGAATAATGTGGCAGGAGTTTAACACAGCTCACTGTAAAAATAGCTTAGTCAGAATACCAGTGACTTGGTGGTCAGGTCACAGAAATATTATCTGGGACAGCAAGACTAAAGAAAGACTGTGGGTCTATTGAAAATTAAAGGGGATACACATATGAACTCCAACAGAGAAGAATGACAGGCATGCATTGAAAGTGCTTTGACATATCATTCAGTGGCATTCAGGACTGTCCAGGGTGATGCTGACATGCCTTCTTTCTTAGACTAAACATTCTGAGACAAAACCAGGGGTTGGAAGCCTGGGTGGGAAGGACAGAAGGATTAAGAGGAAAATTGTAGTCCTCAAAATGAAAACAGAAGAGAATGTAAAAGTTCCACCCTGCACTAGCTTTTCAGTGGGATGGCCAGGCGGAGTATTGAACCCACCGGTCTGAACTATGTAATGACACCAAGAAACATTTTCCATGCTGAAAGCGCTGTACAAATATTATCTAATTTAGCCTAACTACATCCCTGTCAGGCAGATAGTTAAATAACCAGACGGGGGAAACTGAGAGAGAGAGAGAGAGAGAGAGAGAGAGAGGTGAAGTGACTTGCCCAGGATCAAACAGCAAATGAGTAGCAGAGTCAGACTCAGAACTGCCCCAGCAGTGTATCTTTCTCCAGACCACACTGTTTCAGGCATCCTCATTTGGGGATAACATAAAGCACAGCATGTTAGTCACCTCACATGTCCTGGAAGGTTTATGGGCTAATACAATATATTATTTCATTTTCAGCAAGTGTTAACAAAAGGGAAGAAGAACCCTTCTTCATTTCATCAGCAGAAACTTTGCATAGGGATCTCATTACATCACCATGTCAGTAAAGGACATGGCCTTGAGATGCTGCTATTGGGCGTATAACTTTAAGCATAAAGATTTGAATCCCTGTAAGGCAAAAAATGCTGCTCTGCTTTATCACTAATAGCTGTGTTTGCATCCATATTTAAAAGGCATTTCTTTACACTGCAGCTTGGACTGCATTTCTAGACAGACAGTATTGAAGAGGACACTTCATAAGGTCAGAAGCAGAAGGATATTGATGCGTGTTAATGTGTGTCATACTATACTGTAGTCTGTTCCCTGTACACACACAGCCAGAGACACTGGGGAAAGGATATATAATACTGAGCTGTCCTATCAGTTTAGGCACACAAACATGTTGAAGGTGTTTAAAGTTACCTTGTTAATCGTGAAGACTAAAGGTCTCCTTACTAAGTCAAGTATAGGAATCGAATTCCTAAACAACTCCTGGAGACAACAAACAAAAACTAAAACTCTTGTTAGTAATGATCATACTACAAAAGCATAATTTAAAAAGCTTTTTTGGGGGTCTATTTCACAATCTTTTCCAGAATCCATGCAATTCAAAGCCAGCACAAAACATTGGCAATTGGACTGTAGGTAGAGCCAATATGTAATGTAACATACAAAGCAGTTCTAATTGTGAGAGAGTTATTTATAGAGCCTCCATCTTCTCTTTCCTTTTAGGGTCTGTGTTTCCCTTACCTTTCAATGGGCCAGAACATCAACTGAGCTCCATTGACTTAAATGATCAACACCAGTTGAACATCTGACCCCTACCATTGCTAGAGAAAGGCACAAAATAGAGAGCTGAACTAAAATGAGAGATGCACTTCAGATGTAAAATTTTCATTTGTCTCCTAACTTTCTTGGCAATCCATCATTTTGGTTTGGACCTTTCTCTAATTAATATGCCAAGGATGAAATCCTGTCCCCATTCAAGTCAATGGGAGTTTTGCCACTGATTCAATAGGGCTCCAATTTTTTTAGTGTGATTCTAGTATTTTTGCTGAATATTTAGTAGACTCATCAATTGCTTCTTTAGTGAACAATAATTATGGGCAGTTGTTTGCTTCTGTATGCTTCCCAAACTCAAACAGCATTTTTGTTGAGCAGTTCATTTCTAACATCAAAGAAAAATTACAATCATTTTAATTTGTTTGGTTGCTTGGCAAGATGTCACCTGGTGTGACACATTAAACTATTTGAGCACTCTAGGATTCAGCTGTACTAAAGAACTGGGATTTTTTTTTCGCCAGCAAATACACTATAGTAATTTTGCCCAAAATGCATTTTTTGCTTTTCAAAAAATTCATTCAAACCCTTGAAAACAATAGAGGGTGAGAAATAACTTTCACATTTCAAATTGATGTGATCATTTTTGTTCTCCTATGAATTCAAACATGACTTCATTTTAAATGATTTTTAAAGACACAGTTACTACTATGATATGATTGTAATTATCATTATTATAGGTGGAGCTTGTAGGATGCCTATTATTAAGGTTGTTTGATGCTTCTCATTATAAAACCCTCTTTTCAGTTGCTTATAATAAAGGGTTTTGGTGTCTAACTACATATTTTATTTAAAAAATCTTTTTCAGTTTAGTTAGAATGCTTATAGAACTTGTTTTAATCTATATCAGGGCTACTGAACACGTGAATGCAGCCCACGGCCCATTTGTTTACGGCCTGCGGTGTAGTTTGGGTTTACACGGGGCTCAACACATGGCCTGCAGGTGGGGTCCTTTGAACATGGCCTCCACTGGGAACATGCTCCACAACAACGAGGCATCTCACAGGCGGGGTGAGCACTGAAAGATGCAAGTGGATGGGCTGGCTGGAACAGATGGGTACAGGGCGTCGGCGTTTCTAGCCCCCAGAGAGGAGGTGCCGGGAGTGCTGGGGCATTGTGTGAAAGAAGCTATTTCATATATTTGCATATATATTGGCATGTACATAAAACCACACTTAAGTTGCGGCCCTC